GTTTTAACCGCCGCCTGGTTAGCTCAATTGGGAGAGCGCCGGACTGCTGTGCGGGAGGTCGAGAGTTCAATACCGGCCGGACCAACACTCAGGGTCTTAAAATTAACTGAGAAGAATATGCTTCCTTTCTTTAACATCAAGAAATGGTTAGATATTCTAGTCTTCTCGGATAGGGACGAATAAATGGAGGTCCCGTCTCCTGCAGGGTTAGGGGCAGGAGACGTTAATTTCCCACGCACGAGATTACTGTGTGATGGATGTCCTCCCCTGGTGTGGGATGGGTGGGTATTTCTTGCCAAGAATCATCGCATAGATGGAGAACAAGTATTAGGGAAATAAATAAATAAATAAATAGAAAATGCGCGACAATAATGTTGACTTCAGGGAAAACAGTCGGGCGTGAGTTGCAGTGGAAACGACAACAATGACAAGTAATGTGATATCTTTTAAAAAGCGCTCTACAGGATTGGTCGACAGGATAGCCAATCAGCTAATTAAAAAAATAGATTCCATGTCGTTCGGTAATAAATTTCAGATGACGTCAAAATGCGGGAAGAACAGAAAAGAGGCATACGAAGCGCAGCCTTAAATTGACGTGGTGAGACGTCAGTTGAAGTGGTTTGAGTGTTTCATCTTCTTATTTTCTTACTTTTATTTTTGTTTCTCAGAAGAGGAAACTTACCCTGTTGAAGTAAAGAAAATACCCGCCAAAATCGGGGAGAAAACCAACGTGGTTACATGTTTCACTTTCGCAGCGCCCACATACGAAACGAAACAGAGCAGTCAAGCTCGGCGGCATACTATTTCCGGTTTCGAAATTCACGAAATAGCCTGCACTCTGAATCTGCGCAATGACTTGCTGCGATCTTTCGCACAAAAGAAGATGTCAAAATCTCAGTCCCTTCAGAAAATTGAGGAAGAACAACCGCTTGCCGAAGTATCTTACAACAAACACCAATCAAGAAGAAAGAGTACACTAGTCACAGATGTCTTAACAGCTGTGTCGTCTAATGAGCATGGAAAAAAGATTGAAGAAAGAAAATCTTCTTTGGTGTCTGATATCATTAAATTTGATCCAAGTTCAGCAGGAAGGCGTGGTTCTTTAGCGGGGACCCAAGAAGGAAGGCGTAGTTCCTTTGCAGGAACCCTAACAGGTAGTCGTGGGTCCACAGTGGTTAGTCAAGTAGAAAGACTCGAATCCTTAGGAGAAGTGCCTTAGGGTTACCACAGTAACTCGAACAAACCTACACAACCACAAAAACTGGAAACCGTTAAAGCGCTCTCAAAGAGAGCTCCCAAGTCGATGCATGACAATCGCCAAGTTCGTATGAACGAGGTCTCTAAGCTGAATTACACTTCGGCTGCCAGGGCTGCAAAAATGGCCTTCAGAGAAGCACACGTCTCAATTAAAGCCAATCGAAGACTATCGCTGCAAGCCACGGACCACTATCTGACATTGAAATGTGTGCAAAGAATGTGTGAACTCCAGGGGAACAAGGTTGAAAAGAGTGCAAGTTCTCTCACTAAGCTTAAAAACTGGCAGAAAAAGTTCAAAATGGCTTTAAATACAGACACTTCATTCTGATTTACGCGACATCGTGACTAAGATCAAACCATGCAAAGTTACAGAAAAAATTAAGCGATATAACCTTAGTTATATGTCTCAAAACGCAGTTGTCTAACTGATTTGCTCCTACTAACAGCTCTACGAAGATAAATGGTTGTGCCGTTCGAAATTCGTGCTTCTTTAACTCTGACTTCGTTTGAAATCGCTCTCTTGCTCTCCACGTTGACTACAGCTAATCGAGTTCGTGCAAGCGCACTTTTCAAAATGAGCGGGAAAATATCCTCTGTAGGGTTTCGTAATAGCATCAAGTTTTTGTTAAAGAACACAGGATCATCTGATGTCCATGTAGCGCATGTCCGTTCATTGTAAGTCACAAAATTGTAAATCAGGACCAAGGAAAACTGGTAACCAGAGTGATTCCGGTAGAAATAAAATCCAATACCATAAAAACTGATGTAAGACCGTGTTAAATCTTTAATCTTTCCACTATTAAATTTGAAATACGTATAAATATCTGGCTTAAAACTAAAGCAATATCGTAAATCAAGCAAATTCTGCACATTCCATTTAACATTCTAGCATCCTTTTAGAATATCTGCAAACTGTCTATCATGCTACATCATTCCTACAATATCTTTAAACTCATTTGAAAATCTAAATTACGGCTAAGGTAACCTTAAAACAAGCCACAGCTTTTTACAATTACAGCCACGCAATTTGAGAAAGTTTGCGATTAAACTTAGTTAGGGGTAAATAGTTGAAAGTGGTATTTCTTTCTCAAATCAAAATGCTGGCCAAACGCTCCACTCTAAAAAGTTCTTCTCAAGTTTGAAGGAAACCCTTGGCGACGATGCCCGCAGGAAGTGGTCTGAAACAAGAGAATATAAACTTCTTAGGGTTAATATTCTCCTAGATCGGGTTGTTCAATTAAAGCTGGGTTAAGATAGCCCAGAGTTAGCGTGAAATTTGATTTCAGATCTTAAAGCTTTAAACGAAAATTTAGTTTAACTATCTTCGTCTATAATTTTATGATTTGATGCTCTAAAAAGAATAGGGAAAATTATTCCAAAAGGGTTCTTGAATAGAGAAATAAGGAAACCTGGATTGAAATTTAACTCTGGGTTAGTGCTATTTGGCCTTCGAACAACTGGACCCTGATTTGAAACAAACAGGCATTATGGAAAAGGGGAACTCGGTCATTAGTAAAGATCGCGTTTGGTCTTTTCAAATAAGGGAATCTGTGCCCAAATTTAAGTTGCTCACCGTCGTAGCAGTCAAACCTGAATTGCGTGAGGTGTAAATGTGCTTCAGATCACAACGCATTTCTGTTGAGTGGTCTCAAACCAAATCCAGCTTAGAGCCGCAAAGGTTAATTAAACGAATGCAAAAAATATTAAAACAATGTAAAGCCGGAGAACAAAGAAAAAAAAAAAAATAAACACAAGCAAACCTTGAAGCGCAAGAGAATGCGACTGAACGAGTCTTGGTTGGTTTTAGTTCTGCATTCTCAAAAGCGGAAAGGACGCAAGTTTACGAGACCAGTCAAGATAAAGCAAAAACACAACAAGCCTGGACTGAAACGCGCTCAATTTGGTCATCGTATATTCAACGACATTGACAATAATGTTCACGATTTGAATAAATTCGGGATTTTAACCGAATCCTAACTAAAAGCATTCAAAGGAAATTGCTTTGAAATTTAACAGGCGAAGATTTATAAAAGATTTATTGTTGGGATTAAGATATGGCAGTTAGCGTAACAATCACAAAACGTGACCAAACCGTTGCTATCGTTATTGTATTGTAAATTCAGCGTGATTCCTGTTGAGAATTTTTAGTTTGCTCTTTGGCTTTCATCTTTCCAGTGGCTTTCACCACGGTTTGTTTTGCATGCTAATATTGAGCTAGCTCAGTTAAACGCCAGCATGAAAATCCATAAATTCAAATGTTTTCAAAAATTATTCCTCAAATAACTAAATCAAGCACCTGAATTCTAGAATTAAGTTTGTCGCTTACGACGACCTTTCCTTGTGGAGTAACTGCCAGAGCCTCAGGTCCAAAAAATTCATCTGTGCCGTCTCCTTTGCTTCCAAACGCGCCTAACACCCGTCCTTCCAGAGATAAGATCTTCACACAGTCATTGCCATAGTCACAGACAAGAAGGTATTTGCTCTTGTAGATCGTAATCCCGGAAGGCGCGCTAAGTCCGTCAGCAAACGTCCTCAAAAAAGTACCACGAGTGTCAAACACTTTCACACAATCATTGTCTGTATCAGTTACGTAAAACCGTCCTTCGTGAAAGACCGCATAGCATGGGTAGTTGAGTTTCCCCGGTCCCTTGTCGCCGAACAAGAAGAGAAAATTTCCTTCCTGGTCAAAAACTTGTATTCGGCAGTTCATTGTGTCAGTGACAATAATGCGGTTTCGAGCGTCTATGAAGACTCCGTGGGGTCCCCTGAACTGACCTTGTTCCACGCCATGTCGACCGAAAGCGTGAAGGATCGTGCAGGTTGAAGAAAGAACAACGACCCGATTTCTGCCTTTTTCCGCGACGGCTATGTTCCCTGATGCATCGCAAGCAATCCCAGCGGGGCACATAAACGGAAATTTTTTTCCGCTCTCTCTCGAGTAGTGATCGTGCGCACGCATGAATTTCCCTTCGCTGGATAATATTTTTAGTCTATCGTTGTTGTAGTCTGCCACAATGATTTTACCATCTGGCGTGGCAGTTACCCCAACAGGTTCATTAAATGTGTCAAATCCGTCTTGTCCCTCGCCGCCTCTTCCGGAGCTACTCAAAAGTTTCAGTTGTGGCTGTTTACTCTTACGGGGTGTTGTTTTGCTTTGCACCCCATGTTCCCCTGCACGTTCTGTCCCATTGCATTCTATTTCGGTGACGCTCAAGTTGGCTTTATCAGAAACAAAAGTGATATTTTGCATTTCAAAAATTCCATTTTGTACATTTACACGATTTTTCAAGCCTAAGTTTTCCGGCTTTGTCAAAGAGACATTTGATTGAAGTCGTAGTAAACTTCCAATGTCGACATCTGTCCAGGGAATGGCGTGTTTCGTTTCTTTTTCCTCCTCCTTGTTTGCGCGGGCAGCCGCCTCAGGAAACTTTGTGGATAAAACCCCATTGTCGTCTGGAGCATTTTGCTGGCCTAAGTTCAATCTTCTATCAAGTTCCATTACGCCACTCTGAGATCTCAAAGTCTCTAACATTCTTTCACAGAAGTCGGCTGGCGAACCTTCCCGGAGTCCGTCAACAACTTCGACACCAATGGCTTCTTTTGTTGTCAACGGATTAAAATGGCACGAAGGTGTGCTTCTCTGTAGAATACTCTCGTCCAATGACCTGGAAAACTTGTTAAAAGCTTTGAGATTGTTCGGCATTGTCTGTCACGGTACTAGGACTGTTCGTTTCTGTTGAACGTCGCACGCTTTAACTTTTAACGTCTAGTTCCCCCTCTCAACTGACGTTAGATGACAACATCAAACGGATTTTCGTATTTTCAAAGCGTGACTCATCCTTGCTGATCTTGCACGTAAGCTTTAAAAGGTCGCTTCAGCTGTCAGATTGATAAGTATGCAGCCTGAATTAATAAGCTTTATTTTCTTTTCCGTTCCACCCACCCCTCGGCTTACTATTGTTACCGGTGATTTTCATTGTTAGAATGCTCTAGTAGGATTGGACAAAATAGATAAACCTCAAATTTGGCAATAAACCCGAAGATAAAAATATACTTAATTAATCGCATCCTTCTCTCACTGGTCAGCCAATCCAGCCAGAACATTCATTCCACATCTTCTGTCCGATGAAAACGGATGGGCATGACGTCGCAATTTTCACAGTCCGAATGAACTCCAATAACCCACTGGATAATCCGGACTAGTCTACGTACGATAATGGAAGCTTCTCAACTTTTTAATGAAAACAGAAAATCGCAGAAAATTAGTTTTAACGTGAAAGAATTATCAGAGGACTTACGTAGTACCGAGCTACACAGGCAGCAAATTTAAAGTTGAGCCCAACTGAAGACGTGAGCCGGTTCGGAACAGCGTTGTTCAGAAAAGAAAGACCCCCCTGTTGTCTTACGCGTCATAAGGCTAATAATCTGTTTGTATTATCTGGGTCTCAGCTACAGGAAATGGCGAGACTAAAAGCCTCAATCGAGATACTACTAATAGCTAGGTTGATTTGTCAACATTTCGGTGATAAAAATGCTCCATCAACTCCAAAGTGTGAAACAAAAACATCTCCTAAAACTGTTATTAACCATTGTTTCGGGCGCGATAAGTGGTTTATACAACAGAAATATGGGGGTGCCGACTATCTTTTGTTCAGCAGACAATAAGGATCCGTTTAAAAAAATGATAAAAGCGTAGACTTGTTTACGTTTTGGTGTAGTTTTGTTAAAAAATATGTGCGTTAAGCGTGCCTTACCGCTGTGGGAAATTTTTTTCTTTAGCGCGCGTGTGTGTGAGTCTGTGTGAAAGCAGATAATTATCACAGGAAGTCGGTGACAGATTTGAACAAAAGTTGTTGATGTTTGTGTAAGGCGTAATTTAAGAGCTAATATAATTGTGAAGAGCTAAGCAGAGCGTATAACCGTCGTTTGAAACCTCTTGGTAATTAATCAATTCATAAATACAAACGTTCCATTGTAAAACAGCTGAGTACCTTTCGACATTTGAAAGTCTCTTCTAGTTTAAGATGTTTCAGTCCTTTTCGCTTGCGAGGCGGCATTACGGAGTTGACCGAGAAATGGCATACGTCTGCATTTTTTCTTTTTTTTTTGGGGGGGGGGGGTGGTGAGGGGGAGACGAGACCGGGAGATGGTTTATACTCCCGTTAACTAGGAGCGAACCATCCGACCTTCAATTACATGCTCACAAATGTTGGTCAAGTCATGCGTAACACTGTCCCTGTTGTTTGTTTGTTTGATATATACACATGAGTAATTAAGTCCACGCTCCCCCGCCATTGCGAAAAAAAAAAAGAAAAAAGATCACTCCCTAAATAGCTATCAAAGAGTGATTTCCGAACGTAATAAAAACTGAAAAAAAAAGCACTGTAATCGCATGATAAATCAATCGTTAACTCAGTTATCGCAGAATTGCATGGTATTCATGTGTCCGCCACTGACAAATCGCCATCCAAATTTTGTCAACCTCGTCCGATAATTGGTAATTAACTAACAGAAATACAAAACCTAGACAGTTTACCTCAGTTCACCTCGCTGGATCACAGTCATGTCCACCTCGTCTGGATCCCGTTTGTGACTAAACTCTTTACATCCCAACATCAGTCAGTATGCGCATGCTCCATACTGTTCTCTATACAATTCCCAAGGTGCTGACGAGGAGAATTTGTTTAACAATCAAGAACTCCTTTAGTGGGTGATCATTTCCTTCATTTTCGTGCCCTTAATGTTTGATTGAGAGTGATATTGTATGGAGAAAGCAGTTAAGTTCTCTGTGAAGAAATGAGTATGTAATACTGAAGCGCCAGCCGTGTCCTTTACTGAATGATAGTTACCGCTTGGTTGTATTAACTTCAAGACCTAAACCGGTTGGATTTCAAAAGTACTCAAGAGTTTATAACCACACTAACTGTTTCTCCTTTTGAAAATCGATTTTTGAAGACGAGTACAAGTATGCGGACAAACACAAAGTTTTCCTTACACAAATGATATGTAGATGATTGAAAACTTCTGAACAGTTCGTGGACGGGTAATTCCAATTAATGCAGCTGAGGTCATCTAACTGAGAACAAATCTTTTTCAGCAATAGCTTTGCATGTGGGCTACAGCAAGAGAAAATAAGGTCCTATTATATTCTCTTGGCCAAAGCCGATAATGCGGGACCTCGAACCACAAGGAAGAAACCTTCGATTTGTCTCGTTTCTTTGTGTCACTCTCTTCTCCTTCCTCGAGACAATTTAAACATCTTTCCTAATATTACTTGAAAATTTCGTAATCGGCGTAATCAAGCAGACAGTCGATCAGCTACAACTAGGTACTTTCTCGGAGAGGGTAGAAAGATGACCTTGGCTGGTAAAGAGATTGCACTACTATACGCTGCTGACTGTCCGAAGGGCTGACTGATGGGTAAAAAGGAAACACAAACTCCTTCGCATTCTATGCCTTATCTTTTGGGGGTCTTCTTCTTTTGAAAAGGTATGTAACAAAGAAGCGCAACCCCATAATTTGAAACTAGAAAATGGGAGCGAAGACTCTTAGCAAGGTTGGAGCCCAGCGTGATCTCGGGGTACTGATGTCAGCTACAGCCAGCTTCAGTGATCATATCCATGCCCAGGTGAACAAAGCTAACAAAATGCCAGGCTTCATTTGTCGCTCAATCTGAGGGAGCAAAACTTTATTACCAA